TTTTACACAGTCCCTGAAAGGGCAGGCGGCATCATAAATATTTCCAGGCCAGGACAGCAGTTTCAAGTGCCTCCTGGAGCATTCTGGTCAGCAGAACACCTGTGTGTTGAGAATGTCTTCTTCAGCTAGGAAGTCCTCCCAGATTAGTGAGCCCCCAAATAAAAGCTGCAATCTTGGCACTGTTTCCCAGTTCTATGGCAGAACTAGGAAATGCAGAAGATGCAACAAACATCCAGCTGAGGGACCCAGATGAAGACATGAGGCTGTGTGGGCTCCCATGGAGAAGGAAACACTGACCTGCTTTCCCCAGGGTCACATTGCTTCCTATTTACTCCTCAGCATGTGGATGTTACCAGGTTCCGAGCGAAGATAAAGATGCCCTTGGACACCTCCATAAAGCAGCACTAGCTCATCCTCATCCCCCAGCCAGAAAGTCATTCTCAGCAGGGTTAACAAGAATCATTATTTTGGCTAATTTAGGGATCTGAGGTTCATCCAGGATGGAGCTGGGTGGAACTCATTCCTGAGCATTCCTTGATGGATTATTTTCCATTCTGAACTCCTATTACTGATTCCATCAACAACATGAGGTGTTTTTTTATAGAGAAGTTCTATTCCTGAGGCCTCAGTGTGCGGAGAGAAACAACAGGCAGCCACAAACCCAGCTCAGGAGAGAGAGAGGAGAGAGAGGAGAGAGAGAGGAGAGAGGAGAGAGAGAGAAAGAGTGTGTTGGGGGTATGGGGTATGTAGGGTGTGCGCATGTGTGTGAATGTGTGGGGTGGTGGTCCCCACCCTTAAGGAGTTCAGTTTATTGAGCATAACAGAGAGTTGGAATCAACAGTTACACTGGTAAGTGCTTTAGGAGAGTGACATGCAGGGTGTTCTGGGAGCCAGGAAAGTCATCTCCCGGTCACAGAGAGGTGCAGGCTAGGGAAGGAAGGTGTCCAGAAGAGCAGAAACTTAAGCTGAGTTACAGAGTGGGAAGCAGGGGCTGGGCCATGCCCAAGAGAGGCCCCAACACTGGCAAAGGCACCGAGAGATGACGGATGTTTGGGGGGTTAGGCTGAGGTCAGAAATATGGGTTAGGGAAAAAGCGAAACAAGAAAGGGCCAGATGAGGAGAAAACCACAGGCCTGCTGAAGGAGCTTAGGTTTTATACCACGGGCAATGACGAGGGCCTGGAGAGCTGGAAGCAGAAACAAGCTATAATCAGATGTGTGAGTTAGATATATCAGGCTAACAGGAGTGTAGGTGTAGAATGAGGAGAATAAAGATGGACACAGGAAGACCAATGAGGAGGCTGTTGGAAAAAATCCAAATGATGAAGGAGAGGTGGGTAAAGAGTACAGAGACAAGGAATCCTCAGGATGTGGTAGCCCATGGAAAGTAACCATGAGGGAAAGAACAAAGCCAAGCACACTCCAACAGCAGGATAGCTTGGGGGATGTAGTCCAACCCAAGGCAGGCACCACAGGGAGAGACACCAGTGGCACCAGGGAACAGATGAGTCCGAGCTGCGCAGAGGGCAGCAGCTAAGAGTGAGGACTGTGAGGAGGTTCTGGGCTGGACAGGTGACTCTGGGGGACTACTTGAGCATAGAGGTGAGCTGTGAATGAGCTCACCCAGGGAGAGAACCTGGCGTGACATGAAAGGGACCAAGTAAAACCTTAAGCTCAGGAAAGGTAGGCTGCAGAGGCCGGGTCTGGGCGGTTGGAGGATACCCTGAAGACAGCAACCAAGTGAGGGAAGTTACTCAAAATGGTCTGAGACCATGATGCCCTAAGAGAGAGCCCTCCCTGGGGTGGCGGTGGGAGTTACATCTGTTGCTTTTATTACTAGATCTCTTAACTGCTACATCCACACAAACCAAACCAAAAACTATTTAGAATTCAAACCAAAGAACATGCACTCCAAATACTCAGTATGAATTGATATCTAGTAGTTTCAGGGTATGAGCAACCACACCCAAGCAAAATAATTAAAATGAAGTGTTGATGGCCCAGAAGACATCTATAGTTATCACAAAGATATTATTATGACTTTTTTTCCCCCAACAGCTTTACTATCTCATTTCATTTCTTGGTATAGGCCTCCCTTAACAACCCTAATTAAGCTACTGGCCCCCTCACTCTCCACCCCTTTTCTTACTTTGTATGACTTCAAAGCATTATCACGCCTCCTTGACATACATCTCATATGCCTAGTCTGATCCCCCTACTAGAACACGTCTCATGAAGAGATGTGTGACCTCAACAAGTGCTAAGAGCAGTACCCCACATACGGAGATAAGTACCTTGTCCCAAGTCACCCAGCTTTTTAAAACAAATATTCAGCGAGCACATACTCCCATCCCAGAGGCAAACAAGACAAAATTGGACCCTGCCCTTGGAGCGTGAAGATGGGCATGAGCAGAGAGAGAAATACCAAGTATTTAAACAACAAGGAGATTATAATTGTCATAGAGCAAAGACTGGAATATAGTGGTATTTCTGCCCTTGGAGCGTGAAGATGGGCATGAGCAGAGAGAGAAATACCAAGTATTTAAACAACAAGGAGATTATAATTGTCATAGAGCAAAGACTGGAATATAGTGGTATTTCCTTTACGAGCCCAGGGCTGCCACTTTCTCCAACTAAAGGAAATTTTTAGCTGGAGAAACAGTTAAAGTGTTTAAGGTTTGGTCTATGGTCTCTTCCAGAGATCCCACATTTCCAATTTTTAATAGACTCCTGAAAAGCAAAGACACCCACTACAGACTCTGAATATTTAACCTGAAAAGCTTAATCCGTCTATAGTCCTTCTACATAAGTAGGAGGAGACATTCCAGACTTAGGTGGGAGAAAACAGGGAGCAACATTAACCATGAGTTGGGCATGGGTTCAAATCCCTGTAACCCTGGGCAGGTCACTCAATCACTTCAAAATCTGTCTTCCTTATTGGTGAAATGAGACCACTAATTCCCACATAGGTTACTACAAAGGTGAAGTGAAATGACACCCAGAGAACACTCAACACTGTGACTGGGACACAGTTAGTGCTCCATAAATGGTGGCTGGAAACCAGTTACATCTGTTGCTTCTATTACTAGATCTCTTAACTGCTACATCCACACAAACCAAGCCAAAAACTATTTAGAATTCAAACCAAAGAACATGCACTCCAAATACTCAGTATGAATTGATATCTAGTTGAATGACTTGAGGAATTATCTCAATTCTCATACTTGGGCCGACTCCACAGATCTTCATTTCAATTTCTTGATCTACCCTGTTTTTGCTTCCAATTTAGGCAAATGCAACTGTTTTCCCAACAGATCACATCTTGTTTCATGGCAAGAATCCAAACATGGGCTGGATTCTGAGATGCAAGTTGTGGCAGAGCTATGAAAACCACACCTCAAAGGGAGCAAAAGAACACAATCACAAACCCAATGTACACACAAACTCCCAAACACAGCTTGGCTTCAGAGGAGGAAATGAAAACTGGTCAGAGCATGTTTTACCTGCCCCAAAGCTAAAGAAAAGATTCTTTTGACGTACAAACACCAAACTCTGCTATCTGCCTTCTATCCAAACTGTACAGGGGTGTCTTTTACTAATGTCTCTAATTCTTTATCCTTTATTTATGTCTGACACCACGCAACCTGACTTCCCAGCACCCTCCCTTCCATGCATCACATTCCTCAAGGCCATCTGTCATCTTATCACAAACTCTGCAGTCTTCCTTTGGATCCACTCTCTTTGGACCCCTCCTCGTTGGCCTCTGGTTCTCCATTCCACCCTAGAATCAGGCACACTCCCCAAGGCTCACACAGGAAAAACGCAGTTAATCCTATGGTGGTGTGTCCCTTTTCCATCTCCAGAGCCACCCTTCTCAGTCCAGGCTTCAACTCTGCATTTCCAGCTGTCTACTGGGCATTTCCTGTAAATGTACCACTGTCACCTCAAATTCAGTGCATCTGAAACCAGGCACATCAACTCTACTCTTTACCCCAGCATCCACATTTCTGTCAGGGTGCCATTTGGGAATCACCAAGTTTAAATTTTTATCTTCTTTGGCTCCTGTATTTAAAGTCTACAAAAACTACAAATCCTTTGGCTCTCCCTTTGCAGTATCTCTTCCACTGGTGCTTTGTTCCCACTTTAATCACTGTTAGCCACAGGACCCCAAGCCTGGACCACTGCCGCTGCATTCGCACAGCCCCAGGACTCTTGTCCAGCCAGAGATGAATGTTCCTAAAATGTCGCTTCTTCCATTTCACTTCACTGCTCAAAATAACTTCAATAGTTTCCCACTGCCTTCAGGACAAAATCCAAGTACCTTAGTCCAGCATTCAGGATCTAGAAAAGGAATGGACAAACTATCGCCTACAGCCAAACCCAGCCTGTCACCTGTTTTTGTAAATAAAGCTTACTGGAACACAGCCACACCTGTTCATTTACATATTATCTTTGGCTGCTTTCATGCTACCATGGTAGAAACTGAGTAGCTGTGATGGAAATCATGTGGCCTAAGAAGCTTAGGAACTATACATATGGCCTATCAGTCAATCCATACAATAAAGTTTTGCTGACCCTGGTCCACGATAATGAGATGCTGGCCGTTCCTGCCCAATTTCTTGTCCACAACTCCTTTCAATGAAGCTTCTGTTCCTTGAGTCTGTTGCCAAGTCCACTTCCCTTAGATCTTATCATTTTCTCAAGTCCTAAAAGCTTATTTCACCTCTCCCTGGAGTTTTTCTTTAAAACACAGCAAAAGCTCCACCTCCACATGAGACCAGGACAGCCATCCCTTGCTCCCCTGGGGGCTCCTCGTCTAGTCTCCCTCTCTGCATGTACCACAGAAACCTACAGTGTGAGTTTACTTCTCCCATCTGCCACTACTGCCAGCTTCTCTAGGCCCAGTGTGATCTCCACATAGCTAAAGACACTACCTTGCCCTTCATTCCAAATACAATCCTTTACAGCATAATTTGGTAAGAAGACATTAAATCAACTTACCAATGAAGGCCTAGGATTCCACATTTGAAAAGTTAAGCTTGGGTCCGAAAGCATGCACACCAGCCAGCACCACCTAAAAGTCAATGAAATAAGAGTTTAGTTTCAAAAATAATTATAACATTTTCTTTGCATTCACAACTTTCAATAAATGTTGATGCCTTCCCAGGATGCCTATCTCTGTTTTCCTACCTAGAAAATCCTGCTGAGCCTTTAAATCCACTGAACAGTCTTTTCCTGGAAGTCCCTCTGGTGTCACAAGATGGCTGGGTACCCCTTCCTCTCAGCTCCCATGTAAAACTCTGGTAAAACTATTAAAGTAACACATGGTACCAGGTAGCACAATTTCTTATTTCAGAATGGGGGTCCCTACACTATAGGCTTTTCAAGAGAAGAGACCTGTTAAATTCACCCCTTCCCTTACCTCTACTGCCTTGAACACAATGGGCATTTAGATAGTTCTCAATAACTATTTATAAAATGGATGGGAAAATGAACCAGTCAATGTGTTAACACAAGCCTGGGAATCTACTATTTTGCTAAACCACAGTTTTTACCATAGAAATGCATGCTTCAATGCTTTTAATAGGCAAGAGTTTAACAGGGAGGATTAATGAGATTAATCTTCTAAATGCACACCTTTGGAATGACACTTCTCTGGCAGAACCCTTCAGAGGCTCAGTGAATCTAAGAAGGCAAGCCCAAATCCACAGCCAGGCTGCCAGGCCTGCACCAACTGGCTTGGCCTGACTCCGCAGCCTCAGCTCACATGGTCTCCCCCAACGGACCCTGCACATTGCAGACAAACAAAACCCAGGGCCACACCCTTCCTTCTCAGCATTTATTCCAACTGGATATCTGTTCCTCTACTCTCCACTCATCTCCTACTACTGAAATGCCATCAATTTCAAACATGAGCTCCCAGATCAAGTTCACAGTGGGGTTCAATAAGGTTATTTTTTTTGTGCTCAAAAAAAATTTTTTTTAAGATTCATTTATTTATACAAGAACTGGGGTACAGGCCAGATGCGCAGGACGGTGAGAGGATTCACCAGAGACAGAGTGGGGAACAGAACAGGCAGACTGATGAAATACACTGCTGAGGGGAGCAGCGGGTGAGCCAGGAGAGGTCTGCCGTGCCATGTGGGACCCTCGCCGGCCGGCTGGGATCGAACCGGTGCTGCAGAGGCTGTGGATAGCTTCACAGCGTGGCACTCAACCGCCTGTGCCACCAGGGGAGGCCCTCAAAATTTTTTAATTGTCAGGGCCTCCCCGGTGGCGCAGCGCGCTGGGTTGCGAAGCTGCCCACAGCCTCTGCGGCGAGTTCGATCCCCGGCTGCTGGAGGAGGATCCCACATGGTGCGCAGACCTCTCCTGCCACCGCTGCTCCCCTCAGCAGTGTGCTTCGTCCTTCTGCCTGCTCTGCTCCCGCTCTGGCTCTGGTGCTCACCCTCCCGCGCTTCTGACTGTACCAGTGCATGCATGCCTCAAAACTAAAAAAAAAATTTTTAATTGTCATAAAATAAAGCACAATTTAAAACCTTAGCCATTTTTTTTAAAGAGGACAGCTCAGCATTATAAAGTATATTCATATTATTGGGCAACCATCACCACCATCCACTCCAGAACTCTTCTCATCTGTAAAATGAAACCCTATACCTGTTGGAAAGTAACTCTCTTCTCTCCCTACTCCGACTAGTCCCTGGCACTGAAAAGTTTCTGTGGGGTGAATGAATGAACAAATGAGGACATGAATGAATACAACCTCAACCCACCTCACCAAAGGAAACAGTCCTGTGCCCTTCGGCTAGAATCCCCTGGTTTTTCCATCCTTCTCAGATTTGTTTCAATCAATCTGAAATGATTCTTTTTGCACAAATGTATTCTCTTTCAAGGAACTATGACTTACTTGAAAGGTTAGACTTAGGTGCAAATACATGCATTTCGCCTGTGCTACATGTGGCTGGATCCCAGGGGCCAGTCTCGGGGCTCATGTAACAGCTCTTACTACCAGCTAATCTTTCCCTCTTCTTGGCTTCCAGGATAGCACTCTTGGTGCTATTGCACTGCTGTTCTTCCTCATCCCCTGCCTCTTCATGTCAGAGTACCCATGGCCCAGTCCTTGCTCTCATCTCCCCTCTGTATACTTTTTTCTTTTTTTTTTTTTTTTAAGATTTATTTATTTATTTATTTATTTATTTATTTATTTATTTATACACGCATAGGGTACAGCCAGAAGCGCGGGAGGGTGAGAGAATTCGCCAGAGCGGGGAGCAGAGCAGGCAGAAGGACCGAAGTACACTGCTGAGGGGAGCAGCGGGCGGCAGGAGAGGTCTGCGCGCCATGCGGGACCCTCCTCCGGTGGCCGGGGAGCAGCTGGGGATCGAACCGGCGCTGCAGAGGCTGCGGGCAGCTTCGCAACCCAGCGCTCAACTGCTGCGCCACAGGGGAGGCCCACTTCTCTGTATACTTTCAATTGCCCTCCCTGTGATCTCACCAAGTCTCAGGGATCCAAACATCACCTATATGCTGATGATGTCCGGATTTTTCCTCCAAGCCTGCACATTTCCTCCCAACTCCTCACTAGTATATCCTATTGCCTGTTTCAAGTAAAATATCAAGACAAGAGCCTTGTCTAAGACAAATGTGACATCTCCAGCTCAGCATGTACAACACAGCCTCCTGACCTTCACCCTGACCCACTCTTCCCAGAGTCTACAGAAGATAAAGAAGTTTAAGACAACATTCTTCCAGCTGCCTGGATTAAATGCTTTGGGAGCCTTCTTGTCTTTCTTACTGTCAAGCCTTACTTGTCTTCTTACTCCACATCCAATCCTCACCAAAACTGGTTTTTAGCTTCAACATAAATTCAGAATATAACCTCCCCCTGGCCCCCATTACCATCCTGGGTTACACAGTAACCTGCTTCCCTGCTTCTGCTCTTGGTGTCACTCCTACTTCTACCCACAGTCTTGTTTCAACACAGGAGAACAGGTGTTACAATATAAATTAATTATATTTTGCTTAAAGGCCTTAAACAGCCTTCCCAGGAAGGACAATGCCAGAGGGGTAAATGTTCCTAAAGTAGACCAGCAGGCCTGGGGACAGGATTGGGGATTGGGGGCAGGTTGGCCAGTGTCCTCCCACCCATGTCTCAGCTAGTCATCCTAACTGCCTCTTTTATCTGATTTCTTAGAGAAAGGAAACTTTTTAAGGGGAGATAAATACAATCAATGAGCTTTGTTTTTCAGTGAGGGCGCCACCAGAGCCAACAACACTCACACTTCTCAAGAAGCAATGAGATCTGTCAAGTCTGCCACCATTTAATAACTAGTTTCCAAAGATAAAGCGAGCCTTCGAGAGACTAGCTATTACCCTCTCAGTGGTTGTGGTGGGTTCGTCCCTAAACCCCTCTTCTTCCTGCACATTCCAGCAGGTCACCAAGTCCTGTTTGTCTGAATATCTCTAGATTCTATGCCTCCCCATCTCTTCCGCCCATCTCACAAATGCTGTGGCTGGGGGTGAAGTACAAATAAAATAACTAAGGACTCTAACTAGCTGAGGTCTCGTCAGTTCTTGGCATTACAGGGTAGCCTCTTAAGTAGTCTCCCCAACACTTGCCGTTTACTTATTTCTAACCACAAACCCACACAGTGCCTGGAATGATTTTAATAAAACCTAAATTCAAATTCTACTTAAAACTCTCCAAAGGGTCCCTAAATTGCCCAGATTCTTCAAAAACAGATATAGCCATTATAAATATTCCTTTTCATCTTCCCTAGTTGCTCCTCTCTCCTTAAAAATACCCTATTTGATCAAAACTACAATAAGATTTCGCCTCACACTGGTTAGAATGGCTATTACCAAAAAGCCAAGACACAGTAAGGTGAGGATGGAGAGAAAATGACCCCTGTGCCTGTTGATAGAAATGTAAATTAAGGCATTCACTTTGGAAAACAGTATGGAGGTTCCTTAAAAAAAAAAAATAGAATTATGATCCAATCTGATATTTACCCAAACACTAATTTGAAAAGATACACACCCAAGTTCACTGCAGCACGGTTTACAAGAGCCAAGTTCTGAAAACAACAAGGCATCCAACAACAGATGAGTGGATCAAGAAGATGTGGTACACATCCACAAGGAATACTGCTCAGGCACAGAAAAGCTGGAATATTGCTATTGTCATCAAGACGGATGGACCTTGAGAGAATTACAACAATACAAACAAAAGCAAGCCTCAGACTCTGACAACAGAATGACAGAGGAGGGAATAGCTTGGTGGTGAATGGTAGGTGGATATTTTGTGGGTGGTGTGGTGTGAAATATACACTTGCTGAGGTGAGACACTGTACATCTAAAATTCATACAGCATTGTACTCTAGTGTTACCTCAATAAAAGGAAAAGCACAAGACCCCACTTGCCCCAACAGGAATAGGCAAGTGATCCCCCTCCAGCCCCCTCCTCCCATCCCTGTTGCCTCTGCAGAAGAAAAGACTAATGGCAAAACAAAGAATTGGAAGCAAGGACCACTGGCAGCACCAACTTCCATTCTGGAGCCTCCTCCTTTTGTGAACTCCTACATGTGCTTCCCAGTTACAGAACCAATAGCTACTCACTTGTGCCCGGGCTAGCTGGAGTCCCAGCAGGCCCTCCATACCAATTCCTATCTCCGGCCTTTTCCGGCATTGTTTCCTCCAGCTGCTATTCATTGAAAACAATTTATTCTCCCTCTTTAAGACTTATTTTCTTCATCTGTAAAATGGGGGGGGGGAATGGGAGAGTAACAAGTCTTCTTTATAGCATACGGGAATAATGAAGATCATGGATATAAATCCCTTAGCACAGTGGCTGGTAACAGCTCAGGCTCCGTAATGTTATTTATGCTATTAACCCCAGGCCAGAGGACAGACTGGGTATCACTGACAGGGCCACGTTTCTAAGAGCAAAGAGCTAAACGGATATTTACATGCACAAAATCTTCTGGAAGAAACTGCAGCAGCTGCCTAGGTAAGTGTGATTCAAAAGCTACCTAGAAGTTACCAGTAAATTGCCAGTAATCAGAAAAACATGAC